AAGATTTTTTCCCCCTTTCATTGTTTTACAAAAAAAAAAAAAAAAAAATTTCTTTGTTCAGTATTTATATAAAAAGAAGAAAGATAGGTCGGTATTCAATGAGTCAAAGAAGATTTTGAAAAAATTTTTTTAAAATTCTTTTATTCTAAGAAGAAAACAAGGTCGAGTATTTCTCCGAGAATTTAAACAAAAAAATAGTGGGATTTTATCGTAAACTTTTTTACTGTCATCGCGTGAAGGAGGGTCAAACTCTAAAGCTTCCATAAATTGCCGATATATAAATAAAAAAAAAGGAAACCATATAATTATATTATAATTAGTGTGGTAATGGTTAATGATGCCATGATTTGTTGACTATATAATAAATATAAAATGTTATTGTTTGTGTTGAGAGTATAAAATAAAAAATTTTTAGTTAAAAATCCCCATTCCAGTTGTATGCTATTCTAAAAAATTCTATTACTTATATTCGACAATAGTAACAAAAAAACCAATTTGTGATTGATTAGCAATTGATTTGATTAGTATATTTTAAAGTATTTTTTTGATGGTAAAAAAAAAAAAATAAGAAATTTCCCCATTTAAGTGTGTTTCAGCCGAATTAACGGTTGATTATGGTTAGCATCAATTTTTCAACATGGAGAATAAACTGGTGATGAAAAATTAGTTTTCCCAAGGATTATAATGTGTAGTTTAAAAAAATGTTGATAAAGTATAAATTTTTTAATTGGAACAATAGGATTTGCGTCATTTCTTTCTTTACACTAAATTTGGGGTAACGTAAACAACGCCCGCACGGGTAACCGACAATATTACATTGGTGGCAAATTTTCAATAGGAAAAAAAAAATAATAATAATAATAATAATAAAAAAGGATTTCTTTAGAATTTCAGGATTTTAGTTCAAACACAAATTTGGTTGGGAAAAAGTGGAAAAATGAGATTTATAATTGATTCCAATGTTCGAAATGTGTCATAAGTGAAATTTATCGATATCATGTTACGAACAAAACCTTTCCCCTCTCTTATTGGTAACGTTCTTGTACGGCTAACCTTATTTGTATATTGCGAAAAAGTTGAGATTATGACCTCAAGTGTACAAAAAAAAAAATAAGACGTTGTTTATCAGTCTTTTTTAAAAAAAATGCAAAAAAAAAAATCATTTGCATGATCTTTTTTACAAGGTTTAGTTTGATTTTGGGCGTTTTTTTTTTTTTTTTTTTTTTGTTATTTTTAAAAATTTTTTTCTTGTTAATCTTTACCAGCTTAATTCAATTGCATTTTCTTATCTCTTTTTTTTTTTTTTTTTTTTTGATTCCATAAACATTACGATATCAATCATCATCCCAAAAATTTATTCTTTAAAAATTTTTTTTTCTTTTTGCCATTCTGAATTAATCCTAAAATCTCCTTTTTCCCCATTTTGAAGATTTTTGCCATCTCATCAATCATGGGAAAAGATGAAATGCCAATTTTTTTTTTAAGGGAGTAGGTTTATTTACCAAATTTGGTTCAAAGTAAAAGGGAATGAGATCTTACAATCATATCAGAAAGAAATTTTTTTTTTTTTTTTTTTTTGTAAAACAATGAAAGTGGGAAAAAATCTTAAAGGGGAGGAATTGAAAATGGTAAATTTTTTAGTTTCCGATATATAACCATAAAAAGATCCGTTTTTTGAATATGGTCATCATGGGATATTTAAGATTTTTATCGATGGTTAAAAATCGTACTAACCAAATATTAAAAAAAATTTCCATTAAAAAATAAAAGGAGTTCCCTTTGTTAAATTCTGTGTCACCTGTGATAAAAAGGAAAAAATGAGAAAGCTCAAGGATGATCAAGTACTATAAACCACATAAAAGTTAGGGTCAATTAAAAAAACATTAGTGATAACATATCCAGTTAAGGTTTTAATCACTGATAAGCTAATTTATGCGGTGACACTTTGAGATTGCCCAGTAACGATACTTGTTTGATATCATAATTATTTTGCACGAACTTTATTCCGTAAGAAAAATATTTTGAACTTTATCTTTAAGTGGATTAATTGATTAGTGAATTTCTTTTTTAATACAGAATATTCATAATTGTATAATTGTGTAAAAGCAAAATAAAAAAAAATAATAAATGTAAATTCATGTTTGAAAATTTTGGTGCTAGTCCATTAATCGAAAAGAAAGGAAAAAATAATAAATAAAAAATAAAATAAAATAAATCTGTGATTACGCAATGACTCATTCTAATAATTACATATGATCAAAGTTTCAAGTTACCTATAATTATCAATTGAAAAAAATTTTTTAAAGTAACCATAAACAAATAAAGCAAGTTATGTATAATGTAAGCATGGTATACGGTCCCAGGTCAAAAAAACAAATCTTTTTTTTTACGCTAATGGGAAAAACCGATAGTGTTCTATTATTATTCAACCTAAAATAAAACGTAAGATTTATCATCATGGTAAGGACGCTTTGAGTATATGCACTGCGGCACTCACCTGAGTAAACCATATTCAGTTCACATTATTCTACGGTTTGCAATTTTTTAGGGAAGTATAAACAAAAAAAAACATGCAAATCCGTACGATTTCGTTGTTTTTGAGATCTTTTTGGCGTGAAAAAAAAAAAATTCCCCTCCACCGATTTGCGCAGTCCCTTTTTCTTCTCATCGTGACGTCAGCTTCACACAATTCAACATTTCTCTGAGTCAATCCTTATAATCATCTACTTTAAGTTAACCTCATCCATAAGAAAGAATTTCGAAAGGTCCAATCACCATGAAATCATTGGAGATTAAGATTAAATTATCTAAACGAAAAAAAATAGAACAACAAAAAGAATAAATAAATATAAATGGTGAAACCATTCATACGTGTACCATTGGAATTTGTCGGAAATCTTAATTTTTTTTGTAACATTTAATGATTTTGTAACAATTGACATGCAGAGAACTTTTGGGAATTTTATTTTATCATTATGATGATGAAGGTTTCTTCCAACTTTCATTATTCTAAAAATTATGACCTGCGATTATTGTACAAAAGATTTATGACAACGTTCTTGAAAATTCGTTATGCGGCAAAGCGCATGCATACACATTATTATTATTTCTCCACATTTTCATATAATGCTGATAATCAAGACAAAGAATACTACCATTTTTAACCATCACATGGGTGAAGATTATGGTAAATAACAATATATGTATAGATTATCTTTCTTAGAATGCCCATTTATAAATCATTATTTCATCAAAAAATGACGATCACGTGAAAAAAATTTACTACGATCCCCTCGTTCCTTTTATTTGTTTATTTGCAACAACTAACAATAACAACAACAACAATAATAATAATAAAAATAATCATCAAGTTCAATTTTTTTTAAGCTGTTTATCTTTTTTCCTTTTTCTCAGTACCAATTGGTAATCAAGAACTTTTTTTATAATAAATTTTCACACGGTAAATAAAAATATAATACTTGGCGTTAGCGTTAGTAATTAATTAAAATTATTTTGTGAATTTATCGAGTTAAATCTAATTATTATATAATGCCGACAATAAATGACGTTTTGCATCTCTACGGTACGTTAACCTGAACTGTCAATAATACCACCAGCTGAAATAGTATACGCTATTGTTTTACATAATTAAAATTAGTCAGATTTTTGATCTAAATTAATAATAATTTTTTAATATTCTTACGTGATTCGGCCTCGGGCATATCAGGTGAATCATAAATCTTTGCTATACGTTCATCTCCACGACCTTTGCGAAGGTAAAGACGAACGGTTGATCTAAATTTAATCCGAGAGTTGTTAATGTCTGTAAATTATAAGTGTTACCGGATGAACTCGGGACTTACGCGTGGGCAAGCACATGACCTCCTATGGGCTTGCGTGGGTCACTCACAAACATCATGTTGCTACCAGGGTCAGCCTGAACCTAAAAAGATTGATTTATTAATTAAATTTGTACCTTACATTCGCACATTTATGCTTTCATTACCTGATTTGTAATATAAACGGCTACATTATATTCTTCTGATATCTTTGTCAAACGACTGAGCATAATATTCAGCTTTTGCTGCCGTTCGGCGAGTTCACCACGGCCCGCATAATCAGTTCGAAAAAGAGCAATGATTGAATCAATTATCTATATATATAAAGAATCTTTAATTAATTTTATCAAATTACGTTAAGGGTTTTAATGCATACCAATAATCTATAAACTCCTTTTTCTTCCGAAAATCGAGCGGCCAATTCGATAATCAATTTCATCTGATGTTCTGAGGTAAAGGCACGAGCGAAAAGAATATTCTCAAGTGCTGCTTCTTGGTCAATCCCGAAACGAGCAGCTATTGACCTGATACGTTCTGGGCGAAAGGTTCCTAAAGTAATATAATAATGCAATGTGAGAAATTTTATTTAATTGTTTTATAATTAACGTAAATTTTACCTTCTGTATCGATAAACGCGGCCTAAATTAAAGAAATGATGACATTTATCACGTATTATATCAATAATTTATGATGACTACTAAAG